CACTTTACTATAAAGCTACAATCATCAAAACAGCTTGGTATTGGTATAGGAACAGGCATATAAATCAATGGAATAGAATTGAGATTCCAGAAGCGAACCTCAATTTCTCAAACAACTCATCTTCGACAAAGCCTCCACCACCTACCACTGGGGAGAGGAGAACCTATTCAGTAAATGGTGCTGGGAAAACTGGCTGACCACATGCAGAAGATTGAAACCGGACCCCTATCTATCCCCATACACAAAAATTAACTCCAAATGGATCAGAGACCTAAATGTAAAACCTCAAGCCATAAGAACCTTAGAAAATGAAGGACATACCCTCATGGAAATTGGAACTGGCATCCAACTCCTGAACAAAACCCAAAACTCGCAGGCCATAAGAGATAAGATAGACAAGTGGGACCTCATTAAACTAACAAGCTTCTGCAAAGTCACAGAAACTATCAAGGGAGTAAGGAGACAGCCTACAGACTGGGAAAAAGTATTTGCCAACACCAGGTCTGACAAAGGCTTAACATCTTGGATCTACAAGGAACTTGAACGTGCTGAAAAGAAAAAAACAAACAACCCCATGATAAAATGGGCAAAAGATATGAACAGACACTTCTCAAAGGAAGACATCCGAGCAGCCAACAGACACATGAAGAAATGTTCAACCTCACTAATCATCAGGGAGATGCAAATCAAAACCACACTGAGATACCACCTAACTCCAGTCAGAATGGCAATTATCAACAACTCAAAAAATAACAGCTGCTGGAGAGGGTGTGGCGAAAAGGGAACTCTTCTACACTGCTGGTGGGAGTGTAAACTAGTGCAACCTTTGTGGAAAGCAGTGTGGCGATTCCTAAAAGCTCTAAATATCGACCTCCCATATGACCTCGCAATCCCCTTACTGGGAATATACCATGAAGAACTCAAATCACTCTATAAAAAAGATACCTGCACACGTATGCTTATCACAGCATTGTTCACAATAGCAAGAACCTGGAAGCAACCATGCTGTCCGTGAAAAGAGGACTGGATTTAAAAACTGTGGCACATATACACAATGGAATACTACACAGCCATAACAAAGAACAAAATCATGAATTTCGCAGCAAGCTGGATGGAACTAGAATCTATAATACTCAGTGATCTCTCACAGAAACAAAGATCTGAGTATCACATGTTCTCACTCATATAGTGGACCTTGACCATCCAATGTATTACCATAAGAAAATGACTGACAGTGGTGGGAAACTATGGGAGGGGGAGAGATGGGATTAATGGTAGTAAGTATCTGTCTGGGGACAGGGCGACACCTCTTATCAACAAGGGTGCCTGAACGAATCATATTTGTATACCTAACCCTTAACTGTACCCCACAATATCATAATAAAAAATATAGATTATTAAAAAATAAAAAATAGGCAGGCTCAGTGGCTCAGTCTGTAATCCTGCACTTTGGGAGGCTGAGGTGAGTGGATTGCCCGAGCCTGTGGGTTCGAGACCCACCTGGGCTACTTGGTGAGACCTCATCTCTACAATAAATCAATAAATTAGCCGGGCAAGGTAGCGCGCGCCTGTAGTTCCAGCTACTTGGAAGGCTGAGGTGGAAGGATTGCCGGAGCCCAGCAGGTCGAGGCTGTAGTGGCTGGGAGCAGCCACTGCACTCCAGTCTGGGCGACAGAGTGAGACTCCAACTCAAAAAAAAAGTAAAAAAATAATAATAATAATAAATAAATAATAAATAAATAAACAAAATTGTCTCATTTATGTACCTCTGGTATTGTGCTCAGGTCCAGGTTCATACCTGTAGGCCTCAGAACCTTTGAGGAGACAGGTACAGCATATGCAGGAGGATAATTTTTAAGCCCAAAAAAGGAATACTCAGCACTATTCCTGAATCCCTGATGAACCATGTATATTCCAGGGTCAGAAGTGATAGATACCATTTTCCAAACTCTCTCAAACTTTCCCCTCCACCTAATTCTCCCATTTTTCTACTTACCTTCCATTGACTTGTCCTACCATTAACACATAAACCTATACTTTTATTAGCAGTAAAATTTTAACTGCCATGTATTAACTTTAAGCCATAAAAACAATCATATTTAGTTAACAGTCCTACCCATAATCATGCATGACTCTACAACTATTTATTATCTTAAAATTTCTGGGGCGATCCTCTTTTGGGTCCTCTCCCACTTAGGAGCCTTTCTGTCTTCTTAATAAACTTCTGCTTTCTCACCTCAAAAAAAAAAATTCTGGACATATTTCTCCTTCTAGACACTTATTGGCATTCGATATGATTCCATAATTAGCATCTACCATCATTAATTAGTATCGACCATCATTAATTGTCGATATTCAGCGGGACTTGCATTTGCTTTTTCACTCCTTTGTTCGATCATTCAGCAGTAACTCATTAAGTTATCTACTACTTCGTGCCAGACTGTCTCTAAAATAAAACTTCAAATGCTCATTTTTTGCCATCTTCAGGAGGCTGTAAATAGAAAATAGTACTTGGTATATGACATGTTGAGTGTTCTTGATCTGATGCTGTTAGTTTTCCAAACATCTTAGTGTTAGAATGTAGACCTTCCTACCACTTGCCTGCATGTAAGCATCGCAGCTTTACAGATAGGAAGCCTGAATCTCGTTCATATAAATGACAGGAAACTAACTAAACAATCACTTTTGCTTAACAAATTAGAGATGTGTCAAACCTCAACAGTCTTTCAAGATTATAACATAATCTAAGATAAAAATACGTGACATTAGCTAACAGAACCTATAGAATGGGTGAAGTAAGTTACCCTATAGATGACATTTTGCAATCAAGGACAGTGGACATTCATGTTTATCACATTAAAAAGAATGTCCAGTTTAGAATTTCAGGGGCTACTGAAATATAGCAAGCAGGATAGTTTAAGGAGAGGGTTTTTTGTTGTTGTTATTTTCCTTCAGGCAATCATTTCCATCATATTAGTAAAGGAATTTTCATTTACTTTAGAATAAATTACTTTAAGAGTTTTGTGGAAAAAGCCACTCTAAATACCAAATTATGGTGCTAAAATCATGTCACCCTAAATAGAATTTTATCAATAGCATAACACACCAGAGAGTACACTTGATGTTATATTCATCCACAATATTATTTGAGTAAATGTTCACTTATTTTCCTTTTATCTGTGTTTGATATTTTCAGAAAACTTCATTATGACATTAAATAAAGTCATGATACACTAAAGCATAGAAAATGTATTTAGAGATTTAATTAAAGAATTTGTGGACTTTTTACTTTCCAGCATGCTTCCAAAGATACCCGCTGAAGCACAGCATCTCCCTGAAACGCAAGTGATTGGCAGTTGATTAGACTCTACCATTCTCAGCCTAGTGGGCAGGGAGAAGCTTGTACAATGCATCTAATGTAGCTCTGATTTATTCTAAAACCTTTAAACAGCTTAAAATTTTATAAATTCAATTAACTTTGCCTCTTACATATACTTCCTTAGCACTCCAGAAAATATTAATAAAATTAACATGCAACCTGGGGGGTACCATTTGTAGATTCTTGTACAATTAATTGCAGCATCAAAAACAAAACAAAACAATAAAATACAAGTTACTTACACATGGGGATGGCTTGACAGCATCACTTGGAAAAAATCCAACCTCTCCAGATGCTAAATTTCTACCCTAAATTAGGAGGAAAAATGTCAGTGTTGAATACAAATGTACCACAAGTGATAATCGTATAATGTTGTATACATAATGTCATTACTTAGGATCCTAGAATTACTTACACATTGAATTTAGGCCTGAGCATTAATTCACTAAGGCTCATGAAAGGAAGCAAAAGCAGAGACAGTCTTCTTAATGGCTCAAATTTACAGGTGGTTTCAAATAACTCAATAGCTAAAATTCATATTGCTTATAAAATAATTCAAGTATATTTTTCAATCTACCTTTTAAATGTATTAGCTTTATAGCTCTCAATCCTATAGAGAGAAAATTACATATTCTCTCCTTCAATTTTATATCAATTAGCACACATAGATCATATTGGTTTTGTATAGGCACGTAATTAATTACAAATTCAATTGAACTGGATACTATTGGTCTAACAGAACACATGAGAATGTTTCTCTACTATGACAAGAGGTATTCAAGATAAGGAAATGGGGGGTTGGGTGCAGTGGCTCATGCCTGTAATCCCAGCACTCTGGGAGGCCAAGGTGAGAGGATCGTTTGAACTCAGGAACTCGAAACCAATCTGGACAACAATGTGAGACCTCGTCTCTACAAAAAAATTAAAAACTTAGCTGGGCAAGGTAGTGCGAGCCTACAGTCCCAGCTACTCAGGAGGCTGAAGCAGAAGGCTCGCCTGAGCCCAGGAGGTCAAGGCTGAGTGAACCATGATCATGCCACTGCACTCCAGCCTGGACGACAGAGTAGGGTCCTGACTCAGAATGAAAAAATGTGGAAAACAGCATGATATAAGTTTTAGATGATTTCCAAATTTAGGAGGAAGAAATAGTATACTGATTAAGGGAAGAAGACAGTTAAAACCTAGTGACTATGATTTTAATTCAAAATGGCACTATAAATAAGATAGGAGAAAAGAAACTAACAGGAAAATGTAAACACAAAATGAAAAAAATATACTTAAGAATTTGTTCTTGATCAAATTCCCTTTTCAAAATTCTCAAGATACTAATCATATTACTGGTTTCCCCTTTTCCAGAAAGATAAACTGTACTCCAAACATATTGGACCAATCACAGCATGTAATTATGAAGTTCTTGTCAAATTATTTCTACTTATCCAGTAATTAGGCTTATTTATATTTGCTACTTAACAATTGCTTGCTTCTCAATACCTCAGAGGAACATACAGCATTATGGCTGGATGTTACAGGCGCCATTGTTTTTTACTAAGACAAGTAACAAAAAATAATCAGAAAACATGGCCCTCTTAGACTCAACATCCCTTTGCACCATAAACTTTTTAAGCATGCAGAAAGAAAGGAAAAGATAAGGAGGAAGAAGAGCGGGGGAAGGGGAGGAGGGAGAAAGATGGAAGAGAGGAGGGCAGTTGGAGTAGAAAGGAGGTAAAGGCAGGAGATGGGGAAGAAGAGGGAAAGAGGAAAGGGAATTTGAGGACAGAGCAAGGTCAGTTACATAACCAAGCAAGGCCAATTACATAACCAAGCAAAGAGGCAACAGGACTCTTGGCGAGGGTCTAAAATGACACTGTACTTGTGTATTAGGAAAAGATGTATGTGGGCAAGTGGAATATTTATTCATTTATTCAACAAGTACAGGATCTAATATTAATTTGGTTAGACAGTGAAGGAAATACAAAAATACTTTCTCCCTTATATTTAGAAAGCAAAGTCGCATGTGTGCACATGCCTCTGTGTGTGTGTGTGTGTGTATGTGTGTGTGTGTGTGTGTATGTGTGTATGTGTGTGTGTGTGTGTGTGTGTGTGTGTGTGTGTGTGTGCGTAATACAAAATAGAAAGGACTGAATACTGATAGAGAGGTACAGAGAAAAGGCTATGGAAATCAATAGATTGGATATTAAAGGTTTCACTGAAAGTTACATGGGAAGAGGTGGCATATCAATGTAAAGTGTGTAGATTTCAAATGAATGGAGATGGAAATAAGAAGAGAACATTCTGGAAACAAAATATAGCATGAGAAAGTCACAGAAGGAAGAAGTTACAGGATGTGCGTTAAAAAGTACAAATAGTTCCCCTTAGTCTAGTTAGTAATGGTTAATACTTATTGAACCCTTACTCTATGCTAGGTACTGCTCTGATTGTTTCATTTAATCCTTGCAATGATTTTTTTTGGTAGTCCTGTTACTATCCCCACATTATAAATGAGTACAATGTGACAGAGGAGGTCAGTGATTTGCCGATGGCCACAGAGCTAACAAGTGCCAGAACCAGAATTCAAACTCAAATGTTCTAACTTTGGAGCCTTCCACGAGCATAAAATTCATGAATAAAGACAGTGGAAAATAAAGTTAAAAGGTAGTAAGGAACCAGTTTGACAATATATCTGAATTTTGTCATTGTAATGATACTTCATTAAAACTGTTGCATATTTTAGAAAAAATAAATCGGGACCAATGTGGAAGATAACTCAGAGATGGGCATGACTTTTGAAGGAGAGAATATCCTTAGGAAACTGGTACTATGGCAGGAAAGAGACTGGAGGAGGAAAAACAGTTGCTGAAGACACTATTTAACTGAAAACTGTGGGACCTGCCTGTGGATTAGACATGGGAAGAGAAGATTTTGAGAGCTAAAGCCTGGGTGAATTGTCAAGGCTGGGGTAGGAGGCGGTTATATAATCCATCCAAACAAATAACACAGACATAGATGACAATCATATAAAGGGAAATCTCAAAATCATAGGAGCAAGACTGAAATGGGATAAAAGGTAGAGAGAAAAAGATGGAAGACAGAATTTACAGAGATTAGTGTAACTAGAAGGCAAGAAGCAACCATCAGGAGAGAGAAGAATCAGAGACCAATAAGCAATGGCATTCATTCAGCTGTATTTACTGAGTGCTCTCTGGTGCTTTATTCTAAGAATGACAATGGGAGACAAGTAAATAAGTATAATATTTGGGGACCATACCACTAGCCAGACCTTTATATATAAGTGCACCACAATGCTACCTGAGAGCAGAAGTATAAGGGTGTGTGGGTGGAAACCATACACTGATTGAGCTTAGAAGAGAAAAGAGTAAGAATAATTTTAAAAAGAAAAATAAGATTTCTGCGAGTACACTAAAGGAAATAAGGTTATTTTGCAGGTGAAAGGCCTAAGAGAGAGCTCTATAATGGTCTTTCCAAACTATATCTGAAGGTGCATAAGCACATTGGAAAATTACAACTATTACAAGAATGGTAACCCGTCAAGCTGCATTCCTTATTAGGAAAACAATAAAAAACCTTTATCTATAGAATGCAGAGTTCAGGAGAAGTGGTGAGATTTTTGTCACAAGGCATGTTAGCCAATATAATATCATCTACTTTCTCAGAGCAAAATTGACACAGGGCCCTTCATTTTCAGTTTTCCTCCTCTAAAACTCAGTTCCCACATTGCCTACCCTGTTGTGTCTTCGATAAAATCTTCCCCAAGCTGCAGACCCAGACTGAATTCCATGCCCATCCTCCCACTGTGCCATCACATACCTTTCATGGTACATAAAGTAATAGTGCTTCAGTGGCACTCATCTTGAGTAGTATACGTAATTGCTGTTCTACATGGTCATCTGCATTACGAGGCCATGAGTCCTTTGAGATCAGGAACAGTATCTCAGTCATTTTATATAACAGAATGATGAGCTCATGGTAGGCACTTAATAAATATTTTTTAAACGGAGGTATCTCTCAGTCTGATATTTCCATGCCAATGAGTAGCATGACCCTAAATGGCTCTTCATTAAAAATAATATAATACAGTCATGCACTGCATAATGTTTTGGTCAATGACAGACCTCATATATGACGGTGGTCCCATAAGATTATAAGAGAGTATTTTTACTGTACCTAGTCTCTGTTTAGATACAGATACTCATCATTGCGTTACATTTGGCTTGTGGTATTCAGTGTAGTAACATGCTGTGCGGATCTGCATGTAACCTGGGATATACCATATGCCCTAGGTATGTAGTAGGTGAGACCATTTAGGTTTGTATAAGTACACTCTATGATGTTCACACAACAATGCATTTTTCAGAATGTAGCTCCATCATTAAGCAATGCATGACTGCACATCATACTCATTTTTTACATAGACAAGCACTGAAAAGCATGAAGCTGCCTGTTTCTATATGACAATATTCATATCATGATATCCTTTGGCCTGTCCCTGACATGTTGTACTAAGAATGTGCATTAGGGCGTGCAATGTCACAAAACAGAGAGAAGGAAGATGAGGACATAAAGAATAATAGATCAAGGAAAAGGATAATGACTGTTACAATTTATGAAAGCAAGTGAATTAGTATAGATTTTTCTTTCTTCCCTTCTAGAACCAAATGTTCCACTAGGAACTGAAATCACCTAGACCAGTGGTCCCCAACATTTTTGGCATTGGGGACCATTTCGTGGAAGACAATTTTTCCTCAGATGATTGGGGGCGGGAGTATGTGCAGTCAAACCTCACTGCTAATTACTGCCTCAGCTCCACCTCAGATTATCAGGCATTCAATTCTCATAAGGAGCTTGCAACCTAGATCCCTAGCATGTGCCGTTCACAATAGGGTTCAGATTTCTGTAAGAATCTAATGCCGCTGCTGATCTGACAGAAGACCAAGCTCTGATTACCTGCCATCCACCTCCTGCTGTGCAGCTCGGTTCCTAACAGGCCATGGTCCAGTACTGGTCCACGGCCTGGGGCTTGGGGACCCGTGATCTAGACAGTAGAAGCAAGGACTATGGTTGTACAAGAAATTCCTTAAAGTTGGGTGATCATATAATTTTTCATCCAAGCCAGGAGCTTTTAGGAGTAAGTAGATAGTAATTAATAACTATACAAGGACAAGAGGTGTAAATTAGTACACATGGTCATCATATAAAAAACCATTTTGGTTTTTCTCACCTCTCTACCAAGGACACTACTGGAGGTCTTTCAGGATGGAAAATATTTCACTAAGCAGGCTGCCACAG